AGCGTCAAATGATCATAAGCAACAACAGAGACCAAACGGAATAGTTTCAGATTATTTTTTCTTAATTCACGATCATTCCACCCTTGTCACTGTTCTGCCTACAGGAGAGGTAAGTTGAAAAATCACAAGAGTTAAAATTAAGACGCAGGCAAGCAGGAAAATCACAAAAGATCAAGAAACAATCACAAAGTAGGTAAATCATAAGGGTCAATCAGGATAACTCGGCCGTGACCTAGTGACCTGTTTGACCCTTGTGAACCTACTCGCTTTTTTTGTTTAAACTTTATGAACGTTGGAGCCTTGTAATTGTACCGCCTGGCGTCCCCCGTTGACCCTCTTATTAGTTTCACCCTCCAGATTGCAGGATTGCTTCCGTTGTTTGACCCTTGCGACGTTTGACCCTAAGAAGGCATAACCCTTGCGATGTTTAACCTTCGCGAGGATAACCCTCGTGATCGTTTGATCTTAACGATTTCCGGCCGATGTGCCTCTCACTTTTGACCCTTGTGACTTTTTAGCTTAGCTTCCTTGTAAAGAGCTTTCCGACACTTTTTGACATTTTTGACGCCCCAGAGGTAAATTACCGGTATTTGACAATGTCACGTCATAAACTTCCATCTGCGAGATATGCCCAACCCTGGTTAAAATCTAGGGGTCAGAATATGGGGATCTAAATATAAGGGTCAGAATATGGGGGTAAGAATATAAGGGTCAAAATCTAGGGGTCAGAATACACAGGTCAAAGCCCAAGGGTCGTAATATGAGGGTCAAAATATAAAGGTCAAAATCTAGGGGTCAGAAATCTTTCAAATTCTGACATGCCCTCGTTGATGAATTCGGCAGGCCTCTGAATTGCCAACTGCTGCCGACTCGACCCTCCAAGTCAGTAATTCAACGCTACCGCTATCTCGCGACATTCCCCGATCGGCGATTCTATTGTAATGTATTACGTATACCCTATTAATAATTTCTCCCAATTTATAGAAAATAACTAACTAAACGGTATTAATTGCTACAGATAGTTCATCATTCAATTCTCACTCCATTTTTTATTCTATTTCAGTGATTTTCGCCCATTTTTTCACCTTAAAATAACATCCCTGCAACATCCTCGCTACATCGCCACTACAACGGGGATACTAGGTTAGCAGGTATTCTTAACAACAATTAACACATTGGTTAGTTTTTACGACCCCACCAAAGATAAAGCTTCAGAACAGGAGTTTCTAAAATCTAGAAACTAGTTTCTAAAGCTAATCTACTGTTTTTCTCTATGTTCGGTGAAAATATCGGTATATACGTCCCCAAGGTACCCCTAAAATTTCAGTTAAAAAAAATAATGTTTTCGAGTAATTGCGAATTGAAAAAAAAAATTGATTTTGCCATAACGGCTCTAAAAATTGAATAAATTGAGTTCATTTGCGCTCATTTTGAAGCTTTTCCAATTCACTTCCAATGTTTGAGGACGAAAATTCGATTCCTAATGATTAAATTCAATTATTCCACCTTTTTCTCAAACAATCCAAATTCAAGTCGAAAAAGTGAAATTTTTTGAAAAATCATAACTCCCTGAAAAAAATCTAATTGCTCTAAAAATTTCATGAGAGTTTGGTCTCAAGTACTCCTTCTGAAAAAAAAATCGGCAAGACAATCGGAAACATGCAATTTTTTCATTTCGGATNACTAACGGGGCACATTAGGCCATTGCACCATGCCGACCTTCCGAAATTTTTTGGGCGAGTGGGTTCCTAAGCGGTCACCCATCCAAGTACTAACCGCGCTAAACGCAGCCGCACTCGGATGTCCGCCGGAGCAACACCTAACTCACCCAACCACTGCGGTCGGTTTGGTGTAATATTAACAATTGACTTATTCAAAATTTAACGTTAATTCAAAATTATGATTATGCCGATGTCTAGTGATAGATCGACAGATACGTAACGAATGACAATCAACCAAACACAAACCGCCATGCGCATGATATGCACTAGTTTCGCAATCGAGGTCCTGAATTGAAATCTCTAAAATCAAGTGAAGCTAATCAAAAACATGGAAAAATTCGATTATCTACCTGAAAATATGATTTTCATTGCTCAAGCCCAAAAAGGCCTCTTTTACCGACGGTAGTTAAGCATGAGAAGTAGGTCTTTTTACCGTTGAGCAGTATAAAAGTGAGAAATGCACTACTTAGGAGTGAAAAAGTGAGAAATGCACTCCTTAGGACTGAAAAACGTGTGGCGCCACCCAGCGTTAATGTACCGAAATATAAAACTACATATAAAAACTGATAAATTCAGCCAGTGAATCCCCTTCATTATCTTCAAAATTGTTAAATTTTAAATTTGAAAATACACCTGAAAATTAAAATGAAAAATAAATTATTAAAAAATCTTAATTTTGATAATAATAATATTAGAAATATCATTTCATAGAAAATTTTTTATTGAAACTCTGAAATAAACTACAACGTAAACGCAAGAATAATACTCATAGTTTAAATAATAAAATCTAACAAAACAATCAGTTATGCCCATCTATCTCAACTAAGA